ACCGTTTCATAACCCCAGGGTTGAGTCTACAACTATGGCCTTGGGGCTTCCCGTACCTCTTTTCCCACTGACCAAGGCTGAGAAAACACCAGGTGGAAGCTTGTTGTTAGCACCCAAGTTGCCTGCTACGTGACCAGGAGCTTGATTGGATGAAGGCGCGTGATCACCTTTATGGTTGGACAAGGAGCGCATGGACTGTGCGTGATCAGGCACCCGATTGGAGCGCCGCCGCATGGACTGTAGCATGGACTAAGCTTGCTTACATGCTTCAACAATGTTCTACTATATAAGCTGTTTGTGATATGGTACGGGAGCTTCCCCTTTCTTTCGGAGCTCCCCTTGCTCAAGGGTTTCTCTTTCTATCCTGTTTAAATAAAAGTCTACTGAAGACCAATCAGCTGGGAGAAGTGTCGTTCCTTTGCGGGCAAGGGAGCGACAGCCCCAGTGGCCAGGGCTGGGTCAGGCTGAGGCCGGGAGCTCCAGAGGTCTCCCATGGGGACAGCCGGGCCCCCAGCACGTGGGCCACGTTCAGCTGCCTTCCCAGGCACATCAGCAGGGATTTGGATCAGAAGTGGACCAGCTGGGACTCGAACCACTGCTCCAGTATGGGATGCTGGTGGCAACAGCGGCCCCACCGGCAGGACCACAGCACCAGCCCCTGCCCTTGTTCCCTAGCCTAAAGCTGGCTACTTAGGAAGGAAGTCTCTGAACCTTAACTTAAAGTACGACAGCCCAGTTCAGACATGACTCGTCAGCAGTTCTTTCAAGTTCAACAAACTTCCTCATTTTATTGTCTAAACTTACCAACAAATGACTGAGAAACCTCTTTTTACCTACACTTTATAGGGGATCCCTACCTAGCAATGCTACGAATTAAGTTTTAAATTGAGATGTTCAGGAATGACCTAAATGTTCAAAAATAACAGAATTACTTAGCAAACATAACATGCCTCTTACAAACACTCTGAAATAACTATCAGTAGCAAATGGCGTGGTGGCTGTCAGCAGTGGCTGTGGGCCTGGGTCAGACCTGCAGCTGTGAGAGGTGTCTAAGCCCGCGCCAGCCCCGCTTCCCTTGTTAAAAACAGAGGGGACGGCCGGCGCCGCGGCTCACTAGGCTAATCCTCCACCTAGTGGTGCCGGCACACCGGGTTCTAGTCCCGGTCGGGGTTCCGGATTCTGTCCTGGTTGCCCCCCTTCCAGTCCAGCTCTCTGCTGTGGCCTGGGAGTACAGTGGAGGATGGCCCAAGTGCTTGGGCCCTGCACCCCATGGGAGACCAGGAGAAGCACCTGGCTCCTGCCATTGGATCAGCGCGATGCGCCAGCCACAGCACACCAGCCGTGGTGGCCATTGGAGGGTGAACCAACGGCAAAAGGAAGACCTTTCTCTCTCTCTCTCTCTATCCATTCTGCCTGTCAAAAAAAAAAAAAAAAAAAAAAAAAAAAAACAGAGGGGACAATAGGGCCTCCCTCCTTGAAGCCCTACGGGAATGCAGTTAATGCAGCACTAAGGAAACCTGTCCACTTAATGCTGCCAAAGTGCTCAGGGCTACAGGGCTCCTTGGCCCTCCCAGCAATACTTAACCCTTTCAAGAATGGGGCAGCGCTCTGGCACAGGGGGTTAAGCCACCTCCTGCAGTGCTGGCATCCCATATGGGCAACGGCTTGAGTTCCAACTGCTCCTCTTCCAGTCCAGCTCCCTGCTAATGTCCCTGGGAAAGCAGTGGAAGATGGCCCAAGTGCTTGGGCCCTTGCACCCAGCCTATCCCGGCTCCAGCCATTGGGGAGTGAACCAGCAGATGGAAGATCAATCTCTCTCTGCCGCTCTGCCTTTCAAATAAATTAACAAACCTTAAAGAAAAAAAAAAAGCAGCAGGTTCTGGGACAGGCATTGAGTCTAGCAGTGGGGAGAGAAGTTAGGACACCTGCTCCAGATCGCGGAGCCTGTGGTCCCAGCCCAAGCCTCGACTCCAGCTTCCTACCAGATCGCGGAGCCTGTGGTCCCAGCCCAAGCCTCGACTCCAGCTTCCTACCAGATCGCGGAGCCTGTGGTCCCAGCCCAACCCTCGACTCCAGCTTCCTACCAGATCGCGGAGCCTGTGGTCCAGCCCAACCCTCGACTCCAGCTTCCTACCAGATCGCGGAGCCTGTGGCCCAGCCCAACCCTCGACTCCAGCTTCCTACCAAGCAGGCCTGAGGAGGCAGCAGCCACAGCCCAGAGGGCTGGGTCCCTGGATTTAGGGCATGAACTAGAAGATGGGAGGCCAAGCCCTCTCTGCTCCAGTCTCCGCATGGATCTCGTGAACCCCAACAGAACACAGCAGGTGCAGCCCTCGGCCCCAGCCAGCATCATTGCAAAAAGCCGCCTGTCCTGTGGATAAGGTCTTCAGGCCTCCTTCTCCTGGTCTCGGGAGCCGAAGGAAGGCCGCGTGCACGTGGGCTGGGGAGCGCAAGGCTCAAGCATCATCTCCCAGGAGGGTGGCACGGGAGGCTCGGAACGCCAGCGCACTGCTGGGCGGAGGGTGCTTCAGACAACTCCTGGCAAACGGAATGAATGAACGAAATGGAGACTTCAAGTTAGAAGTCCACGCACAGCATGTCAGAGCACGTGTTTCCATGAACACACAGGTGTGCGTGTGCAGGCACGCATGCAGTAACCAGCAGTCCCCACGCTCTGCACTTAACAGGGATGGACTGTATCAGGCAGAATCCACGAGGGCTCCCACCGGTCCAGGGTGGATGCCAGGGAGACACCCAGACAACGGTCAGCAGGGTGGATGCCAGGGAGACACCCAGACAACGGTCAGGGCTGGAAGCAGGGCTGCTCAAGCCGGGAGCAAGACGGGCTCGCCACGGAAGCCCCGGCTCCTGGAGCGGAGGGGCCAGCGGCACACAACTCGCCTGTCGCTCCCCCTCTTCATGGAGGAACGACACTAAACCCTGCCTAGGCTTCATATCCGAGTCACGGCACCATTATGTCGCTCCCCGTCTTCGTGGAGGAACGACACAGGACCCTGCGCTGTTCTTTCATCTGCTCGGCCCTCCCCGGGTTTGCTGCTGGTTCTTCCCGGGTTGGCTACCGACCCTTCCACCTCCGTGGAAGGGCGGTTCCCCCTGGCCACTTTCCCCACTTCCGCAGGGGAGCGGCACACCACCGGCCGGCTCTCTCGGGGGCTGCACAGGTGTTCCCCTTAGGTGTTCCCCTTAGGTGTTCCTGGTGCATGCCATCTCTCTCCTCCTTTATAGTCCTCCTCTGCCAATCCCAACTTGGCTGCCCACACGCCGAGTACGCTGCTCTCCTCCAATCAGGAGCAAGTCCTACAGTTTATTGGCTGAACTGGAGGCAGCTGTGTAGAAGCTGTTTTCTTCTCTCCCAGCGCCATATTGTGGGAGAGCAGATGCATAGAATAAGTCTTAATTCCAGTAACTTAGTCTAGTCCGGGTTGCTCCCCACACTCACCTGCGGGAGAGCCACGCTCAGTCACTGCAGTGCCTGGGACGGCAGGCCGTGCCCATGGAAGTTTTCAGATCTCTTAACTCTAACTTTTGTTTTCTAATTTTTGGATTGATTCCTTCATCCACTCATCTGTCAGACAGAGGGGTTCATTCATTCACTCGCTATGCGTTAGACAGAGGCATCGTCCTCTGCTGCTCCACTCCCCAACACGCTTGCAATGGCTGCGGTCTCACCAGGCAGAAGTCCTAGCCAGGAACTCAAGCCAGGCCCCCCCCCCTCCCCGGGGAAGGGGGTGGCAGAAACCCAAGTTCTTAAGCCATCGCGGCTGCCTGCCACAGTGTGCATCGGCAGAAAACCAGAGACAGCAGCTGGCGCCGCGTGCAGCCCTCAGTGCCCCGCGAGCACAGGTGTCCTGACCAGGCAGAGCAGCCGCCTCCTCGGGACACACGGATTTTAAATCGCGGTGGAAAACCGGCCTTGGCCCCACGCGGAGGACGCCTTAAGGCGCTGCACTCCATACCCCAGCGCCGGGGCTCCAGCCGCTGGGCTGCTTCCAATTCCCGCCTCTTGCCAACAGGCACCCGGGGAGGCAGCAGGCGGGGGCCCACGCCCCGGGGTTCCTGCCACACGTGTGGCAAATCAGTATTAATTCTGTGTTCCTGGTTTCCATTCTGGCCCAATGCAGGCTGTCGTGGGCTGCAGGGGAGTGAGCCAGTGGACACGAGCTGTCTCCTGGCCTCCCAAATTGATTAATTAAGGGCGCAGGGGGACACCTGGCCACGAGTTATGTGTGTCCCGCGTTCCGTGTCCGGAGGTGGTGGAGACTTAACGTTCTACCGAGGTGGCGTCTGGCTCGCGCGTCAGACAGGTGCAGACAGGTGCAGGCGAGGGCCAGCGAGGGCAGGCGGGCAGGGTCGCGGCTCCCCACCCGGCCTGGCGGCGGGCGCGCTGCTTTCCCCTCTGCCCTGGCCCGGTCAAGGCTTAGGGGAAGGGTGGCCTTACATGACCTCATCAGGGTCTCATAAAAGATGTCACCCTAGCTCAGAACGAGAGGAAAAGTGCCACTTCCCAGGCCCGGGGCGCGCAGCCCCACCGCGGTAGCTGGGGGGCTTGACCTGCCCCGCGTCGCCTCCCGTGGGCGGGGCCAGGGACCCCCGCGCAGGGGCAACTCTGCAAGCGGCCGCGACGTCTCCACAGCCGGCAGCGGCGCACGGATCCAGGGACCCCCGCACAGGGGTGCTGTGCTAGCGGCCGCGACGTCTCCACAGCCGGCCGCGGCGCGCGGATCCAGGGACCCCCGCGCAGGGGTGCTGTGCTAGCGGCCGCCTCGTGGAGACGCGGGACGGAGGGGCGCCTGCCCTGCGCCCTCACTCGCCCCGCGGGGTCCCCCGCAGCCCGCGCCCCCCAGAGCCGCGGGACCCGGAAGCCGGAAGCCGCCCCGGGCGCCGCACCGCGCGTGCGCAGAGCCCGCGAGCGGCGAGGGCGCAGCCACCGCCGCCGCCGCACCCGCGCGGGGCCCCGCGCGCCCGGCCGCGCCGCCTACCTGGTAGCGGCCGCTGAGCAGCTGGCTGCGCGAGGGCGTGCACAGCGGCTGCGTGTAGTAGTTGTCCAGCAGCACGCCGCCCGCCGCCAGCGCGTCCAGGTGCGGCGTGCGGATGGACGAGCCGTGGAAGCCCACGTCGTTCCAGCCCAGGTCGTCGGCCAGCACGAAGACCAGGTGCGGCGGCCGCTCGGCCCCCGCGCCCGGCGCCGGCCGCAGCAGCAGGAGCAGGAGCAGCAGCGGCGGCGGCGGCGCGCCCCGGCCCATCCTGCCCCGCCGGCCCGCGCCCGCTGCCCCCGCCGCCCCGCTTATAGACGCGGGCCCTGCGCGCCCGGCTGCCCCGCCCCGGCGCGGCTGCCCCGCTGCCACCACGGGGAGGAGCCACGGCCAGCGGGGGTCGGCGGCCCTGCCCTCGGCCCCGGGAGGGAGGGCGTCCTGGCGGGCGTCCGTGTGTGCGGGACACGCGTGCGCCCCGGGCCCGACCTGTGCGTGCGCCCCGGGCCGCGGGCCCGACCTGTGCGTGCGCCCTGGGCCGCGGGCCCGACCTGTGCGTGCGCCCAGCCCGGGCCTGGTTTGCAGTTCTCCCGGGAACGGGCCCCTCGGGCGGTGCAGCCCGCGGTCACGGAGCAGCCCCGGCCCGTCCACCGGCGAGCCGCTGGCTCCAGAGCAGGTGCCCAGGGGGCCCCACGCCCGTCCTCGGGGAAGCGGCCAGGTCCCGCTGCTCCGGTCACGTGGGGGTGGACCGCGCTGCCAGCGAGCCCTGGGGGTTACCTGACAACCTTGTAACTTGTGGATGATTGACAGCTGTGTGTCTGCTTGTACCTTTTAGTGAGCCTGTCCTTTGAACTGAGTTTAACACCTTTAAGGAGGAAAATAAAATCTTAGGTATTCATTTTTGTATTCGTGTGATTTTTACCTCTTTTTTTTAATCATCCTGGAACACCTGCAATGCTTCCCTTTTACAAATAATTTTTTTTAACTGCATGAAGATTAGCTTATGTTCTACTCATTTTTTAGTGGAAACTTTAGCGTGTGTGTTAGGGGAGGGGAAGAGAGAGACGTGTCTAGAATATCAAAAAGGGCACAGAACACTGTAGCATAGTTGTCTGAGTGGATGGGACAGGAATGGAAAAGAAACACCTTTTCGCCACACACCCTTTCATTCCTCTGAATTTTTTTTTTTTTTTTTTTTTTTTTTTTTTTTTTGACAGGCAGAGTGGATAGTGAGAGAGAGACAGGGAGAAAGGTCTTCCTTTGCCATTGGTTCACCCTCCAATGGCCGCCATGGCTGGCCCGCTGTGGCCGGCGCACTGCACTGATCCGAAGGCAGGAGCCAGGTGCTTTATCCTGGTCTCCCATGGGGTGCAGGGCCCAAGCACTTGGGCCATCATCCACTGCCTTCCTTGGCCACAGCAGAGAGCTGGCCTGGAAGAGGGGCAACCGGGACAGAATCCGGCGCCCTGACCAGGACTAGAACCCGGTGTGCTGGCGCCGCAAGGTGGAGGATTAGCCTAGTGAGCCGCGGCGCCGGCCCATTCCTCTGAATTCTAAAGTCTGCATACGTCACCTATTCTGTAATTAATGCTAATAAAAAAGTTCATGTTTTTATTCTCAAAGGCAGGGAGAAGAGTGGAAACAGATGAGAAACAGGCCAGTCTCCCGTCTGCTGGTTCACTCCTGAAATACCCAGCACAGCCAGGGCTGGGCCAGGTCGAAGCCGGGCGCCAGGAACCCAATCCTGTTCTCCACGTTGGCGGTGGCAGCGGCCCAGCCGCTGGAGCCGTCACCTGCTGCCCAAGATGTGCCTTAGTAGAAGCCGGAATCAGGACTCAAAGGCAGGCCTGGGATCCGGGCGGAATCAGGACTCAAAGGCAGGCCTGGGGTCCGGGCGGAATCAGGGCTCAAAGGCAGGCCTGGGATCCGGGCGCCAGACGCCCACCCCGAAATCCACACCTCTGCCGAGGAGAATGCGCTGGAAGCGGGAAGTGTCCCCCAAGAGACCAGGTGGTTGTGAAGCCGGGGCCAGCACAGGGAGCCTGGAGGAGATGAGCCAGCAGTGCCCCGCCCTCATCCCTGGCAGCTGCTGGCGGCTGTGGGTTACGCTCAGAAGTCAGGACTCCTGGGTTTCGATGCTTCTCCCAAACCGTTGTTTGTTTCAAGGCCTCTGAGTGTGAAAGGCATTGGCACACAGACCAGGCGATTTTAAACACCCTGTTTCAAAATGTTTAACCGTTGCGGGGAGGGCAGGGGAGGAAGCAGCCCTTCCCAGCTGAGATAAGAATCCCGAGAGGTCTCTGCAGAGAGAAACCAAGCTCACCGTCTGCATGTGGGCAGCTGTGGTCGCGTAGCTCACGGCCCCAGTGCCACCCTGCACAGTGCAGGAGACGGACTTGAACCTGAACATCAGAACAGCCCAGTGTGCTCATTAGATGCCAGCCTCTTCTGTCTGACCGGGCCTGCAGGCCGTGTGTCAGTCACACACACGACCCTCAGGGCCACCTGCAGGGACACCTCAGGCTCCATCAAGGCTGCAGGCTCACACGGAGTGAATTCTATGGGAGCAGCATCTTCGGGTAACCGTTGCCTTGTTCTGTGGGGCCCGAGGAATGAAAGGCAATGGAGGAAAATGTTATTTGTGGACAAGAACTGCTGCGGCCAGCTCACAGCTGACCCCTCATCCTGCCCGATGCCCATCACCACCCACCCCTCGAAAGCAACTGGGGGAGAATACACGGTGGGACACCCTCGTACAGACACAGTGTCTGCTGTGCGTAAGACCAGTAGCTGGGCCGGCCTTGTGGCGCAGCGGGTTAAGCTGTCCCCTGTGAGAGCTCGTTGGAGTCCCGGCTGCTCCACTTCTGATCCAGCTTCCTGCCAATGCCCCTGGGAAAGCAGCAGAAGATGGCCCAGGTGCTTGGGTCCCTGCACCCATGTAGGATACCCAGATGAAGCTCCTGGCTCCTGGCCCAGTGCTGGCCATTGTAGTCATTTGGGGAGTGAACCAATGGATGAAGATTCTCTCTCTCTCTCTCTCTCTCTCTCTGTGTGTGTGTGTGTGTGTGTGTGTGTGTGTAAATCTGCCTTGCAAATAAAACAATGTTCCGCTCACCCATCTCAAGCTGACGGCAGGCCAGCAGCCACCTCTGCCTCCCCTGGCCGGGCACTAAAATGTCTCCTCTGAATTCGAGCCTGATGGGGAGTCGGGTTTGTCCCATTTTCATTGCCTATGCTGACTGATACACAATTCTTTAAACTTTTAATTTGGAACAGTATTTTAATTGTTTATTTATTTACTTGAAAGAGTTACAGAGAAGAAGAGCCAGAGGCAGAGAGAGAGAAAGAGAGAGAGAGAGATTCTGTCCCCAGTGGCCGCAATGGTTGGGGTTGTACCAAGCCAAAGCCAGGAGCCAGACACCACTTCTGGGCCTCCCACGAGGGTGCAGGGGCCCAAGCACTTGGCCACCTCCCACTGCTTTCCCAAGCCATAAGCATGGAGCTGGATGGGAAGAGGAGCAGCCGGGAGTTGAACCAGCACTCATATGGGATGTCGACACTGCAGGTGGAGGCTTAACCTTCTACGCCACAGCGTTGGCTCCAGCGAAGTTTCTTTGACATGAGCAACAGTTGTGCATATAACCAGGGAGAGAATCAACATACAGGGCTGGTGTTGTGGTGTAGCGGGATAAGCCACCGCCTGTGACATGGCATCCCATATGGATGCTGGTTGCAGTCCCGGCTGCTCCACTTCCAGTCCAGCTCCCTGCTAATACGCCTGGGAAAGCAGCAGAGGATGGACCAAGTGCTTGGGCCCCTGCATCCACATGGGAGACCCAGAAGAAGCTCCTGGTTTGGCCACCCACTTGCTGACTTTGGATAGTGAACCTGTGACGGAAGATCTGTCTCTCCGTCTCTCTCTGTGACCCTGCCTTTCAGATGAGTAAATAAATATTTTAAAAATACCAGCACAGAGCTGAGTCTGGCAGTCATGAAAACCTTCCGCCGGGGTGGGCTTTGTGGTTCAGCAGCTGGGTCACTGCTCAGGAGGCCTGCATCCCCATCAGAGTGTGTAGTTCCTGCATCCCCCATCAGAGTGTGTGGTGCCTGCATCCCCCATCAGAGTGTGTGGTGCCTGCATCCCCATCAGAGTGTGTGGTGCCTGCATTCCCATCAGTGTGGTGCCTGCATTCCCCATCAGAGTGTGTGGTTCTGGTCTTGGCTACTCTGCTCCCACCCAGCTTCCTGCTAGTGTGCACTCTCGGAAGGCAGCAGGGGATGGCTCAAGTACTTGGGTCCATGCCACCTGCCCCTACATGGGAGACCCAGATCGAGTTCTGGGCTCCTGGGTTTGGGCTGGCCCAGCCCTGGCTGTTGTAGGCATTTGGGGGTGAACAGTGGACAGAAGATCCGTCTCTCTGTGTCAGTCTCTTTCCCTTTCTTAAAAAAAAAAATAAAAAATAAAAAATAAAAAAACTCATAGCACACTCCAGAAATTTCAGTGCTGTCTATCTGTTGCTTTGGGAGCAATTCTAGTTTTAAACATCTCTGTAGTTGAAAAATTTCCCGTAAAACGCCTTCATCAGAGACTTCTTCAGACATTTCTGTCACGAATGTCGGACTTCTGGCGTGTCTCTGCCTCTGGCAAAATCAGAGAGCTCGTAGAGCAGCGAGAAGCTGAGACGCTATTTGGTCTACTGCTGGAACGAGCCCTGGGTTCCTGGCAAGAAAGAGCAGGGCTCTCCAGCACTGCGCCCCGATGGCTTCTGGCAGCACAAGACCAGCGCCTTCTGTTGGTGGCCCAGCATGCTTTGAGATGTGATTTCTGCACAAAGGACCATTTCCCTAGACTTCTTACTGCAGCCGTAATGGCCTTCTCCTTCTGCGTGCCTCTCCTTCGGTTAGAGGCTGGTGTAACATTCTACATAAACGATCGTCCAGGAACAATGTTACTGAAAAACGACAGCAGAGGTTACATCCATTGTAAACCATGTACTAGCATTGTGTTTCCTCCTTTCTTTAGTGTTTGTACAATATTTAAAAAGAAGGAATTCGAATTGTACAGGTATATTAAAATCAGTGGGCAGTCCCTGTGTGAACACAGCCATGGCCAATGCACTTCACCCTGTTTCACAGCCCACGTGATAAACCCAGGTGGGGACTCTGGCCCCCAGAGTGACCGCTGACGAATCTCCACCGCTGTGTCTCTGCCCTGCACTCGCTCTGCTGTCACTGCTCATTTCCAAGCCCCCGTTAAAGGCAGGGTAACCAGTTCCACAGGCTGTCTGAAGGCACAAACGTGCCGCTAGTGAGCGGTTACAGGAAGCTGAGATGCGAGTGCTGGGCCCCGCGGCATAACCGGGGTTCCTCAAACCAACTTCCACGTAGAATAGAAGGCTTATTCAGGAACACGCGAACGTAAAGTGCTCTTAGGAGTCAGTGTAATCACACACAGGACATATTCATCACGTGATTGGATCGCATGTGTGTGCTGCTTTGCCGGATGGGATCGAGTGAGCTTCACGCTCTACAGAGATGTGAAACTGACAGAGGGGAGGATCTGAGAGTTAAAGAGACAGAGGCACTCACGGATGGCATCGGGGCCGCTCCAGACTTCTGGAGACGAGATGCGATGCAACAAAGACGTGTTTCAGTTCCTGCGGGTAGGACTTCACCCTGCCAGCCCGGGGCCCGCCCTGGGAGGCCAGCCGCTCCTGCCCTCCCCCCCACACCCATCCTCCTCCGGGCTGTCCCTCAGTTGTCCTCACTGTCCCTGGAGCAGCTCCTGCTGGTGGTGCCCACGGCCGTTCTCGTCAGCCTGTCCTCTCACTGGGCATCTTCACCTCCTGACCCCTCACCGCCCCCGACCCCTGCCCGGCTCTCCTGACACCATCGCACACTCTAAGAAGGCTGCGTTTTCCCTGCCCCCTTTCCCCAGCAGCAGCAAAGGAGAGACACAGACTGGCCACTACGACAGCCTTGCAGCAGGACGGCGCCTTACGGTCACGTGGCACCGGGACAGGGCCTGTGCAGGCCCAGGGGCTCTCCCTGCTCCAGGGGAGGGAGCGCCCGCCCCTGGGCCAGGCCCGGAGGACCCACATCTGTGCCGACACGGAGCACTTTGGAGCCTGGTGGTTGTGGGAGCCTGCACGGCCCCTGCTCCACAGCTGCTGGAACCCACATTCTCACCCAAGCACCAGTGCCAACGCCAGGCGCTGAGGGCTGGGGGCCCAGCTGGTCTTCTCTCTCAGCCTTCCTCCTCGTGGGCGCTCCCAGCATCCCAAGACTGCAGCTTCTTCCCTGCCCATGCACGGTCTCAGCTTCTGCCTTCGGCGCTCATCAGCTCACTCTGAGGGCTCTCCGGGCAGGTTCCCACGGGAGACATCTGGCTGCCCCAGCCCACCCCTCCGCAGCCAGGTTCTGGTGCTGGTCAGGGATGGGCGGGCTGATCCTGAACAAGGTGACAAGCCCAGGACACTGCCCGGTCGACCTGAGGTGCTGGGTGAACCACAAGACCCAAGAGCAACTCAGACACAGCAAGGGAGCGGGTGAGGGCAACCTCTTAAGGAAATCAGAGTGGACTTAGACTGTGCGTGGGATTTCTTTAAAAGCCTGACCTGTACTGAATGTTGGCGGGTTTGATGCTGTGATAAGAATTCAGTGGTGCACTTTCATTGCTGCTTTGCGATACTGCAGTATCCCAAAGTCAGGAGAGGGTACACAGAGGAAGAGCCCAGAGATGGGGGTACAGCCCTGAGGCCCCTAACGGACAGAGGCTGAGCAGCCGCCTCCCAGTGCGCAGCCACGGGCTCCAGGCTGCACTGACGCTGGGGCTGAGCTAGGAGGACACTAATACCCCCAGACGGAGGTGAGGCCTGTTGCTCTCCAACAATGCTCATTGTTAGAAAACATTTAAAATGTAAGTGTGGCTCCTTTTCAAGAGTTGTGTGCTAAGAATCACTCTAGAGTTTATCATAACCACAGTCTTATCATGCCCCATATTCAGCTTCAACACCCAGGAAGACAGTTAATAAAGGATAGCACACAAAAAGTCTAGGGTTACAAGCTGATGGCAAATGATAAACCACCTTTCTCCAAAACCAACTGGATTTGATCAGTCAGCCAAACCCACAAGGCTCCAAGCAGCACATCAAATTTTCCTGAAGGGTTTTCTCCCTGCTGTCCCCAGACTAAGGGCCACCCACCAGCTCCTCGGCTTCTGTCTGTGGAGGTTTTGTGAAAGGACAAGCAGCAGGCACCCTGTGGGCAGCTCCTGAGTCCTCTCCCAGGGAGCCGCTGACTCAGCGGGAAGCCACCAGCCCACTGAGGGGGGGCACTCTGGACTCTGGCTCCTCTGGGGGGAAGCCGCCAGCCCACTGGTGGGGGGGGGGCACTCTGGACTCTGGCTCCTGGGGGGGGGAGCTTACAAGCATTCTCTGCTTTCCCGCAAGTTCTAAGACAACCATCAGAGGCACGAGGACAGTGCCCTACAAGCAAGCTCTCAGGGAGTCATTAATAAAGAGTAAAGATTTCAAAAATTGAATTAAATGTTACCCTATTTAGATGTACCTTAAATTCAATTTTGATCACCCATCATGAAAAATGAAAATTAGCATTCAGCCACCTAAGAGACGATTTCTCAGTGAAATAATCCAGCAGCCCCACCTCCGTTTTTAATGTAAATTCATTTTCAGGGATCACAAGCTGCACGCGTACGTGTGTGGGACTGCAGCGTCCTGAAGCTCAGCCACGATGAGGATCAGACGCCAGCAAACGCCTCGCGCTCTGCGACTGGGTCTCATGAGAACAGGCATTTCTCATCACGGCTGGAAAGCGGTCAGTCCCTGGCCGCCGCTCCGCCTCACCGAGGAGACCTCGCGGCGGCTGGGTGCTCAGCCCAGGCGCTTCTCGCCTTTCTTCTGCAGCCGGCTCCGGACGGGCTCCGGCAGCACCAGCGGCTCCCGGGTGACGACGGCCGGGTAGTTCCTGCCCAGCAGCTCCACTTCCACCTGCTGCCCGACAGCGCCCAGCGCCACAGGGACGTAGGCGAAGGCCAGGCTCTTGTGGATGCTGTAGCTGTAGGCCCCCGACGTCGTGTTGCCGACCACCTGGAACACAAGACCCAGCGGCCTGGGCACCCGCGCCGAGGCGGCCCGCGGCGGATGCACCCGAGGCGGCCGGAAGACCACACGGCCTGGGCACCTGCGCCGAGGCGGCCCGTGGGGGATGCACCCGAGGCGGCCGGAAGACCACACGGCCTGGGCACCTGCGCCGAGGCGGCCCGCGGCGGATGCACCCGAGGCGGCCAGAAGACCACACGGCCTGGGGACCAGCCGTGGTCTTCTCAGGGTACATCTGTACTGCTCGGAAATTTCTCCTTCTTAAATAGGAGCGCTTACTTGCATGATTCATGGCACCATTTTGCTTAGCTTCCTACCAAGAGCTCTGATGATGGAAGACTGGGATGTCTATTTTAAACTTAAATGTTTTTTTTTCTTCTTGGAGTGGCGTTTAGCCTAGTGATGAAAACGCCTGCCCCCCACCACTGAGTGCTGGTTCCCATCCGGGCTCCAGCTCTGCTCCACAGCTCCCTGCTGACGCACGCCCCGGGAGGCAGCAGGTGATGGCTCGGCAGCTGGGTCTCCGCCACCCACCGCGGAGTCCTAAACGGAGTTCCAGGCTCCCGGCTTCAGCCCTGTCCCAGCCTGGGCTGCTCAGGCAACTGGGGAGCGAACTGGAAGGTGGGAACCCTCTCGCGCGCTCTCTCGCTCTGTTACTGTCTCTCAAATGAGTAAATGTCAAATAAACACAAAAATTTTAAATTTTCTCTGTCATCACGCTAGCTGGGCAGTACTAGATGAAAGGGGCGGGATCTAAGACCCAAATGCAGAGTTGGCCTCGTGTCCATGTGGGGGGGTGTGTGAGGAAGTAGTGCTGAGTCCAGCTATTTCTGCCTCTGTCGGAGCCAACGTGAAGTGCGCGTCTGCGTGAGAACACAGTGCTTGCGACTGCGCCCTGCGATCTGCAGAGGTGAGCTCCAGGAGCCCCTGCCGAGGCCACGAACTCCACAGACGCGTGAGTCCTCCAGAAGATGTCGTGGAGCCGGCCTGCACCTGATGCACACCCTCCCAACACCTGAACTCATCTCTCCACCCATACACAGCACCAAGGCAACGTCTACACACCACTTCTTCTATGCGGATCCACAGTAATAACTTGGCAAGCAACAAATTCAAGTTTTGCTTTTTGGAACTTTCTGGATTTTTCAAAAATATTTGTATCCATGGTTGGCTGAATCTGGAGGTGTGGAGCCAGAGGGTGCTACTGTGTAGTACTGAACAATTCCTGGTCTTGTTTAGTCATACACAGTGTGACGCTTCTAGGTCTACCATGCACAAACACCTTCTAGATGCTCATGGGGAGTGGGCAAAGCCTGCTGCCCAGCCACCCTCAAAGGCAAGCTGAGGCATAACACAGAGACAGAAGAAAACGCAGTCAGGAGCCATAGCAGTCTACGTGGGCGGGGCCTGGCTCTGCACTTTGGAGTTGGCTGGGCTTGGGCTGGGAGAGACGAAGCATGGAAGCTTCCAGAAGCAGGAGAGACGTGGACTCAGCATGAACAAAGAAAACGAAAGAGGGGGAAACGGGGTTTCCTGGGACGGCGGCCAGGGAGCGACACTGAACTCAAAAGTGACAACAGAGGCTGCAGGACCAAGCAAAGCCGAGGCGCTGGAAGGGGACGCACGCTAGTGAGACCAGACCTAAAGGGAAGGGTGGAGACGCAGGCAGGCAGAGAGACCCAAGCGGGCACTGGAGAGGAGACGACAGAAAACAGCAAGTGCACAGCCAGAGGTCCCGCCTCCTGGGAAGGGCCGTCCAGCACAGCAGGCTGCGTGGGGCTGGAGCCCCAGGCATCCGCGCACGCGAACCAGCCAGGACCACACAAAGATGCTAACGCAGTCTCCCAGTGCAGACTCCGTCTGGAACGATCCCTTTGAAGCCCCGCATCAGGAGCCCTCTGTGTGGTTTCTGAGCTGACTGCGGTGAGGACGGCGGCAGACCTCAAAGCACCCATCAGCGGAAGCTCCTCTCTGGCAGGCGTTAACTGCCCGGGCAGACGCGCGCTGCACCACCGCTCCACTGCTTTCAGTGCCAGTGAAGCGATGGGAGGCAGAGACTCAGGATGAGAGAGGCCGGGGTTTTAATCACAGCTCCCAAAGACCTCAGTAACCTTGGCTTCACTTGCCAGTCTGTGAAGCTGGGGGTTGAGTTTGGAGCCTGGGCTGCCTGGGTATGGAAGAGACCTGAGCCAGCGTCCGGGTGCCATCCCTGGACGCGCCAGGCCCAAGGCGCCTGGTCACTGCTCTGACGCCTTCTCCAGGCCTCCACGCTCCTGGTGCCCAGCAGGTTCACCTTGTAGTTGTGTCTGCCCTACCCACCCCAGGAAGGGAGCGCTGATTTTATGAGTGCTGTTTTGAAAACGCGCTTGGCTCTCTGCTAGGATTTGCTTTCATTCCTACTTTAATCTCTCTCATCCAGGAGTCAGCAGCCGAGTATTTCAGAAGTCTGGCCTTTCCTTTTGTCTTGTCACTCCGTCTCCGGGGTCAGGTTCTCCCCGGCATACTTTCCAGAAGGTTCCACCTGAAAGCCTTCCAAGAACAGTTAGGACCATTCCTTCTCTTTGCTTGGTGAATTCGGAGAACGACCCGTGCCCACCTGTGGGGAGCAACTCGGACTAGACTAAGTTACTAGAATTAAGACTTATTCTATGCATCTGCTCTCCCACAATATGGCGCTGGGAGAGGAGGAAACAGCTTCTACACAGCTGCCTCCAGTTCAGCCAATAAACAGCAGGACCTGCTCCTGATTGGAGGAGAGCAGCATGCTTGGCGTGTGGGTAGCAGAGTTGGGATTGGTGGAAGAGGACTATAAAGGAGGAGAGAGACAACATGCACCGGGAATATCTATCTGAATAACACCTGTGCAGCCCCCGAGAAAGCCGGCCGGCGGTGTGCTGCTCCCCCGCAGAAGTGGGGAAAGTGGCAGGGGGAACCGCCCTTCCACGGAGGTGGAAGGGACGGCAGCCAACCAGGGAAGAACCAGCAGCAAACCCGGGGAGGGCCGAGCAGACAAAAGAACAGCGCAGGGTCCTGTGTCATTCCTCCACGAAGAGGGGGAGTGACACCCACCCCTGCCCAGCAGACCCTCCTGTTCTGGGGGAACACTGGCCTCTTTTTTATCACTGAATAATCCTCACTTATTTTCAGTCTCTTTCTATTCCTCTCCTAGGCTCTCAGGAGTCTCTGGCTTGGGAGGATGGCGTGGCCAGTGGAGGAAGGGAGGTTGGTGGATGCCCTGTGTTTCGTGGCCCTGTTTCCAAGTAACAGGATGAAAAAGAAAGCTTCTCATCTCTTCCAACTTCCCTGCAAACCTCGTCTTCAAAGCTTCCTTCCTAACTAAGCTGCTTTCATGGCTAGCCCACCTGACATAATGAAAACTGTTTTCATGGCCCCCTGCGTCCCTGGGCACTCTTCACACCTGACCGCCCTACCTCTGGTTTCCTTTGCTCCGTGTCTCTCCCTCCCATGAGGTGGAAGGCTTGGAGGTCACAGATTCTTGCCTGTCTGGTGTGGTGCTATGTCCCCGCGGGCTAGCATACTGCTGGGTACATGAGTGAATCTGCGCCCTGTCTCCAAAACTGGAACCATATGCAAGCATAACACACCAGAAACGAAAAGCAACACATGTCAGAACACAGTCAGGAGACGAAAAGCAACGCGTAGGCCGTTCCAGGGAGCAGAGGATCAAGGACCCCGGGGAGAGCCATCACACGCTGGAGCTGGGACCCCACTAGAGCCACAAAGAGCAGTCAGCTCCTATCGGGAAGTCCAGGAGAAGCAGCCCTACAGCCGGGCTGGCACGTGTCGGGAACCAAGAACACCACAGCCCACTGACTCAGTGGACACGCAGGGCCGAGGAAGGCAAGTCCTGTGTGGTGCTCACACTTTCAGGCCGTTTACCGTTCGTGTGGCAGCGACACATTTCCGATGGAGAAACAGCTGTCAGTTGTCCGTGGCTGACACGGGGCTGCACACAGAATCTTACAGCATCGCAGCCCCGTCAGCGCACGGCCAGTGAAACGGCGTTGGGAGGTGAGCGCACGGATCACACTCGGAGGTGCTGGGTGAGGACGGAGTGGAAAATGGGACGGAAGCACGGGGTGGGGGCGGAAAGCAGGACTGGAGAAAGAGCAGGTCGCAGAGGGCAGCCTCTCAGTGCAAGCCCATCGAACGGCCTCGCTTTCCAGCTGAGAAGGCAGGGCCTGGATGCGGGTGGGGCTACAGCGCTGGGTATCAGCAGGAAACACGCAAACCACGACAGCTTTGCAACCGGAGGGAGAACACAGATTAAGAAAAGGACTGAACCAGAGATAGGGAGCGGAAAGGGGAAGGAGGCGCTGAGGAAAAGCCAACAGACCAGCAAACGTGGGCCGGGGAGGGCAGGCCGAGGCCCCTGCCGCAGGAGGGCAACTTCCCTCGGCCTCATGGTGTCTAACAACGCCCACCTGCCGCTCAGATGGGCAGGGCTGTGGGGGCGTCAGCAGGGGCAGAGAAGGAGCAGACTGCGGCACTCAGCGGGCCTTGGAAGAAAGCATCAGAAACTCAGCGTCCAAGCCAGCCCCACCCACACAAGCTGTGCAGCCCCCAGCAGGCTCCTTAACCCCTCTGAGCCCACAGCCTCCTCTTCAGCGTGGAGACGCTCACACATCTATGGCAGAAGTAGAGCTGGCACTCGTGGGTGTCGGCTGTGTGCCGCGCCCACCCCTCCTCAGCCCACACTGTACTTCCTCAGGAATCCGAGGCCATGACGCGACACGGCCGGCCTCCCCACGCCCAACTGTCCTGTCACTGGGAGAAAACAAACCAGTTGGCTATGGCCAAGGACAATAAACCCAGGCTCGGAAGTGCAGCGTCCTGGGTACGGACCGAGGCTGCTCAAAGTGGACACCCACTCAGGTGAGCCCCGAAGGCCTGGGCCCCACACCTGCCTGCCCACTCAGCCGAACGCTGAGCCAGACTGGGCTGCACAGTCCCAGAAAGTGCAGGAAATGCAGCGCCCCCGGGCAGGTGTCTGACCGACCCCAGCTCCGCCGATTACAAACTGAATGAGATGGGACTCTCTCTTCCCAGGGAACTCCAGGGCTGCTGCCCTCACTCTATGCTACACTGGAAGGTGCCACCCTCTCTCATACGTGTGTTCTGGAATTTTCTTCTCTGATCTGCAAAACTGCCTCCTTCTCAGATTCAAGTTCTTGATAAAACTCAACTTCGCACTCACAGACATGAATGGGATGAACAAACAGGTCACCCCACCCCCTAAGCCACACCTTCCTCACCATCCGTGGGGCCGCCGGCCTTCGACAAAAGCATACAGAATTCCTCATTTTCAAAGACAAGCAGCTGTCATTCCCCTCAGTTAACTGCCACCAGCTCCTTCAATGTCAGCTCAGAACGAGAAGTGTTGCATCCCTCCAATAAGTCAGCAGCAAAGCGTGCCAGGAGCTGCCAGGAAGGAGCAGACGGGCCGCAGAGGCCGCGTGGCTCCCGGCAGTGGGGGTCGCGTGGCTCCCGGCAGTGGGGGCCGTGGAGGCTACGTGGCTCCCGGCAGTGGGGGCCGTGGAGGCCACGTGGCTCCCGGCAGTGGGGGCCGTGGAGGCCGCGTGGCTCCCGGCAGTGGGGGCCGCAGAGGCTGAGCGGCTCCCGGCAGTGGGGGCTGTGGGGGCTGTGGAGACCGCGTGGCTCCCAGCAGTGGGGGTCGCATGGTTCCCGGCAGTGGGGGTCGCATGGTTCCCGGCAGTGGGGGCCCCGTGGCTCCCAGTAGTGGGGTCCTTGGGCACTCACCTTGCCCTCATACCACACACTCTCGTTCCCCTCCGGATCGACGTCATCTGTGGCCAAGGTGAGGCAGACCAGTCTCCGCTTCAGCCCCGAGGCTTTAATCTGTCTCAGGGCGTGCTTCCCTATGAAGTCTGCAGGCTGCGGGAACACGAGATGATGATGATAAATGAATGTGCAGACATGGTGACAAGGTTAGAGACGCAAGCGTTTCAATTTGCCTTTGCTATTTTCTTGCCAATTACACATTAAATAAAAATACAGATTGGATCAAACGTCTAGCCAAAAACTTCTTCGTCCTCAGATGACAGGATCAGCCACCTACTCCTTTAGAACGTGTTCCACGCGAGGGTGGGGGCTTGTTGAGGACAGTTCTGCCGGCGTTACGTGGGCAGAAACCCGTAAGGCATTCACCGGCAACGCATGAACGTGACCCGCATCTAAGGCAAGGGTGGAGCATGAATGAATGCGACCCGGCACCTGACACAGCCGGACAACAGCACAGCTGTCCACGGGCACAGTGCACTGTCTCCACCATCGCGAGCCTCTGATGAGAAAGAACCAGTTTTCTGAATGTGACGCTAAAACCCCTCCCACATGCCGTTTCTGTTCTTCAGAACAACAGCCCCCGGCATGTACTCGAGCACTGGGCGCATCCACTCGTTCAATGGGGCCCATTCACGAGCCCCCTGTGCGGACACCACACTGGGCCTGCCGTGAGTCAGACACTTCCATCAAAGGGCTTATTCTCTACGACGTAGCTCCTCTGTCCTTTTCCCTTCTTGTGTGCAACACATGATGGGTGACACTCTGCGAGGCGCGTTCTGGGGGGCTGCAGCCCGGGGTTTCCCAAGGCAACGCACGTGACTGACAGTGACATTGGCTCAGGGGTAACCTTGAGTCCACGCGCACGTGTTACAAAGGAGCAGGAATCAAACCTGAAAGCACCCGGTTATCACTAAAACTCCATAGGTGGGTGACGACTCCTCATCAGGGAGCCAGGCTCTGGCTCAGCCAGACACGGCCTAAGTGTGGGAAACTGGGCAGAGCCCCCGTAGCCAGGGCGCCCAGGCCAGGCTGCCGTCCACACGGGGCTGAGGGGAAGGCGCCCCCACCCCGCGTGCCCAGCAAGTCTCCGACCCTGAGGGGACAAGAGCACCTGCTACTTACGGGTCCTGTCACTGGCCAGTGAGCTTGGACAAGAGCGCAAAACAAAAAGGAGGTTCTCAAAACAATTCTCACTTCTAGACAAATGCTCTGCCACTCTGAAAACTGTGTGGGGAAACAGACACGGATCCCAGGGACAGGGGCACAGCTCCCAGGGTCAGGGGCACAGCTCCCAGGGACAGGGACACGGCTCCCAGGGACAGGGATATGGCTCCCAGGGACAGGGGCACGGCTCCCAGGGACAGGGACACGGATCCCAGGGACAGGGACACGGCTCCCAGGGACAGGGGCACAGCCCCCAGGGACAGGGACACAGCTCCCAGGGTCAGGGGCATAGCTCCTAGGGTCAGGGGCACAGCTCCCAGGGACAGGGACACGGCTCCCAGGGACAGGGACACGGCTCCCAGGGACAGGGGCACAGCTCCTAGGGACAGGGGCACAGCTCCCAGGGACAGGGGCACAGCTCCCAGGGACAGGGACACGGCTCCCAGGGACAGGGGCACAGCCCCCAGGGACAGGGACACGGCTCCCAGGGACAGGGGCACAGCTCCTAGGGACAGGGACACGGCTCCCAGGGACAGGGACACGGCTCCCAGGGACAGGGACACAGCTCCCAGGGACACAGGCATGGCGCCCACCTCCAGGCTGGCCAGCGAGGACACAGGCCTTCATGCCCAGGCCGCCCCAGCTGCCCACGCGGAGGAGGTTCCTGGCCTGGGCGGGAAGCATGAGGCGGAGCGCGATCACCCCGCACCTCTCACTCCACCCCACTCACTGCGAGCGTGGAGTCCACAGAAGCCGCCACTTCAACTCTAACCCGCGTAGAACCCCGCAGAACCCACACCACCTCTCTGGCACAGCGCACCACACCGCTGTTCTCGCCCCTCCCCCGTGACCCTGCCATCCACGACCAATAACAATGCCGCAGCAGGATCTCCTGCATGCACAGAGGGCCGCGTCGCTGTCCATCAATACAGGTCCCACGGGGAGGGCGGAACCCACAGGAAACCCAGATTCAGAATGGCGGGAACGTGCTCAGGGACCCGAGTGCGGGCAGAGCACCCAGCCACACGAGCGCCTTGCTTTCTAGTTCTGTTTTTAAGATTTATTTGTTTGTTTGAAAATCAAAGTTACAGAGAGAAAAACAGATCTTCCATGTGCCAGTTCACTCCACAAATGGCTGCAATGACCAGAGCTGGGCCAGGCTTAAGCCAGGAGCCGGGGTCCAGGGACCCAGGCCCTTGGGCCATCCTCCGCTGCCTCCCAGGCCTTTAGCAGGGAGCTGGATGGGAGTGGAGCAGCCGGGACATGAACCACTGCCCACTTGGGACTTAAGCGAGGCAGGCAGCAGCTGCACCTGCTAAAGCCACCGAGCTGCCCCGGCAGACAGCCGTGGACAAGGAGCAGAGTTCTCACCTCCACAGTAGGCAGGTCTCCACCCAACAGTCCAGAGGCCCGCACTGCACGTGCTGGGATGGCACCGCCTTGCCGAGGCCTGACCCCGCCCTGCCCTGCCCTGGCCTGGAATGGCTTCTACCACTGGAGATTCTTTTACGTCTTGAAGGCTTTGGGTCTTGCTGAATCCCCTATAAGGAATCTGTTGCAGTTGCTGACAAAGCCATTGAGCCCTGCCGTGTACTGCCCTCTGGTTAGGCACTGACTACACAGAGCTTGGCAGAAGCTGGTCTTGAAGTGTGGGAGACCCCTGAGGAAGAGTGACCGCTCTCCCCCACACCACAGCAGAGCCAGTCATGAAATTTCCTCACGGCAGAGGAAAAAGAGGACCGGAAGGATAGCAGCACAAGGCACACGCAACACACAGGCCAGGGCGGCCCACTCGGTGACGTGACTTGGTCAGTTCTGTGCGCTCCCTAGGGGGAGAAGTCCCAACGTTTTATACGTCTAAACCAAGAGGCGTGGAGGCAGAAATGCAAATAAGCAGACCCCCTGAGAGAGGGGTGTGCTGTGGGGCCGAGCCAGCCTCAGGGGACAGTGGGGCGGGGGCGGCCCCCACGGCAGCAGCAGCGGCACAGAGGAAGTCTCTGGAGCCGAGCTTGGAAAGACGGGGCGCTTCCGTCATCGCGGCTGCATTTCCAGAGGGCGTGCACTTGCGGGATAACCGTCTTCACTACAGCCTCCTCCCGGCAGATCTGGGTTCTAAAGGAAGTGCCTTGACTCAGCCAGAGATGGAAACCCAGCAAACCGCGTAAGAACCCAGGGTTCAAGAGCCCCAGGCCGTAGCTGAGCCACTGGTCACCTCCCAAGGTGTTCAGTGGAGCCAGCCGTGACCAAGGCTCTCAGAGACATGCCCTTCTGGGGCCACTGATTGAGAGCTTCCGGGCAGGTGCCAGGACAGGGATGAGAGGGAGTGCAGGGAGCCGACCCCTATCCTTGACAAATTCACAATTTTACCCAAAGCAGAATTACAGAGAGAGAGAGAGGGAGAGAGAGAGAGAGATCTTCTACCTGCTAGCTCATTTCAGAATGGCCGCAACAGCTAGGGCTGGGCCACGCAGAATCCAGGAGGCTAAAACGCCAGTCAGGACTCCCACATGGGTGCAGGGGTCCAAGCACTTGGGCCACTCTCTGCTGCTTTCCCAGGTGCATGAGCAGGGAGCTGGATCAGAAGTGGAGCAGCTGGGACTCAAACTGGTGCTCATATGGAATGCCAGCGCTGTAGATGGAGGCAGCTGGCTTGCTGGCTCTCAAATAAAGTTTTAAAAATCTTTTAAAAGTTGTTTTTAAAATGTTTAGTACTGGGGCCAGCACTGTGGCACAGTAGGCTAAGCCTCTGCCTGTGGTGCCAGCATTCCATACAGCTACCAGTTTGTGTCCTGGCTGCTCCTCTTCTGATCCAGCTCTCTGCTAATGCACTTGGGAAAGCAGCTGAAGGTGGCTCAAGTGCTTGGGCCCCTGCACCCACAAGGGAGACCCAAAAGAAGCTCCTGACTCCTGGCTTCAGACTGGCCCAGCTCTGGCTGTTGCAACCATGTGGGAAGTGAACCAGCGGATGAAGACCTCTCTCTCTCTCTCCCTCTTTGTCTGTAATTCCGCCTCTGAAATAAGTAATTTAATCTTTCAAAAAAAATTTAGTACTAGGAATAGAAGTAAATGGCCTCAGAGCCGGCGCTGTGGCACAGTGGGTTAAAGCCCCAGCCTGCCGGTTCGAGTCCCAGCTGCTCCTCTTGCAATCCAGCTCTCTGCTATGGCCTGGGAAAGCAGTGGAAGATGGTCCAAGTTCTTGGGCTCCTGCACCTGCCTGGGAGACCTGGAGAAAGCTCCTGGCTCCTGGCTTTGGATCAGTTCAGCTCTGGCCATTGTGGTCATTTGGGGAGTGAACCAGCAGAAAAGAATGCCTCTCTCTCTCTCTCTCTCTCTCTCTCTCTTTCTCTCCCCCCACCCCTGTAACTCTGTCTTTCAAATAAAAAATAAAAAAAAGTAAATGTCCTCAACTCGATAAAAACCTCTATGAAAAAGCCACAGCATCCACCACGCCAAGCACCGGAGACGGAGCGTTCCCGCCCAGCTTCCAAAGCCGGCTGGGGTGTCACTGTGACCACTTCTGCCCAGCACTGCTGGAGGCCCACCAGCAGAGGCTCTGGCCAGAACAGGAAGCCAGAACAGGAAGTAAAAGGCACCAGAAATGACAAAGAAAATCCTCCCTTTTACACCTCGTGACTAGTCATTCAGAAAATCCAATGGAATCTACAAAACGAGCCATTGGAATGACAAAATGGACATAGCAGCCACAGAGCTTAAGCTCAGACTTCGAAACTAATTGTAGAAGCAGTCTTCAAAAGGTTCGTGGAAAGTGTATATGAAAAAAACTATGCACAGATTCCAACGTTTCTACACCAACATAAGCTAGTCTTTTATTTTCATTTTCCACCAGCTTTTTGAAGTACTGTCATATTTCCATATCCTAGCAATAAAGAACTAAAAACTGAAATTTAATTCACCATTTACAGTAGCAT